TTTGTTTGGTGTCGTTCTAACCAATCGATGCCCAGTAATAAAGAATTTTGGCAAGATGGCCAAAGTGGAAAAAAAAATAAAAAAATAATACTATGATATATTATATTTTAGTAATTAAAATATTGCTTATAATCACTTTGATGTATAATTCTACAAAATGCTAAAATTATTCTTAATTCTTCTCTATTTACACCAGCAGCTAATCCGGCATCTGTAATAGCTTGAGAAAAATCTATTTTTTATGATTCATTTTGATATATAGTTGTTGATTGACATATATGTCAAGTCATTGTAATTTTGATTGAAAATCTAATAACTTTAATCTTATATTTTCATCATTTAATTTCTATTGTTGTACATGTTGGGCAAGGTTGATTTATAATTAATTCAAGAAATATATTGATACTAACAAATATTGAAGAGTCTAATTTGCCTTCTTTAGTAAGGGTATTAATAATTTTTGATATATTTAAGTTTATTTCATCTGTATCACTCACTTCGGATTTGTTACTATGTAAAAGTAAGCATTATTTATTATATATATAATATATATATATTCTGTTAACTAACTTTGATGATTTTGTAATATTAGCTCAAAAATTAATTATATAAAATTGATTATGAAATATCTTTAATTAACTTTAATATTGTACTATAAAAAAAACCTCTATATGATGAATGTAAAGAATTTTTATAAATATTATATGTAGGTTTCTTTTTTAGTATAAAATTTGAATATCAAAATCCTATTATAATCCACTTTAAATAACTAATTTTTGAAATTTGGTTTAGACTGCAGATAAAGTAGTCTAAGTTTTTTTCTTGCTATCTTAGAATATGAAATTTAAATAGATTTTCTTTGTTGTAAAAGAGTTATACATTCTTTTCTTATAAGAGAATTGTATATTCTTTTCTTTGTATGAAAATCAAATTAAATTTCAATAAAACAGAAACATGGTCTCACCATTAATATTCAAAAAAAACTAATTTTTAAAATCTTATTTAAAAAATTTCATATCATAAGAATTATATAGAACCAATATATGATACACTTTTATTTTAGCTTAGAAAATAGAGGAGTAAAGCTTAACAAAATTTAGAGTAAACAGAAAAAAAATAGATTAAAAAAACTTTAAGCATCCAAATTTGGATGCTTAACAGTTTAAAGAATAATACTTAAAACTAAAATAAAAAATTCTGTATACTTTAGTAGAAATAGCAAAAAATCATGATGAAAATAGTAAATCCCATGTTTCTGATATATGTTTTGCTATTACATATAGCGGATCATAATTTTACATTTTCTACTCAACCTGTTAACCTTTTTCGAGATTTTATATTATAATTTCATTTTGATCTGGATTTCATTATGATCCGCCACATTACTTATTCTAATGTAATAATATTGACAATAAATTAATTGCTATTTAACGGCTGTTTAGTGATTAATAAAAATCCAATTCTGGTGGCCGACCTCGAGGCAAAATATGGAATGCTTATGTTGTCGAACAAAAAAAAATAGAAATTACTATTCGATTCGATGTGACTATTGTTCTAAGCATTGGAAAAAAGGAATACCAATTGTAATAGAAACACATTTAGCTAATGAATATTTCAGTTGTCCACAAGATGTACAAAAATATTGACAGGATAAAATTAATTATCGAAGTATAGTACTTCAAATACAAAAACTCGCAAATCAATAGATTCTGTTAATACAAATAATTCGGAATCACTTTCTATAAATCATCAAAATTCTGGATGAAGCATCGAATATTGTTGATGAGGTCTTAGAAAATGAGACTGACGATAATTAGCTTTAAACAATACAGTTTAAAAATACTACAGTTTTATTAGTTTATTGTTTTATCGAAAACATACGTATCAATGTAAACGCTAATTTAATTGTTTTATCGCAAGCATACGTATAAAATTTTATCAGTTTAATATTTTGATAGTTTTTACGGTTATTTTTATCAGGGTCAACCTCACTATATGGGTATTTATTTTTGAACCCAGACCAATTTATATATATGACTAATAATATTTTGGTCTGTATTCAAAAATAATTACCCATATACAGTCAGACCTCGATATAATCACCAGTTTCGGAAACAAACATTTGGTGATTATAAACAAGTGTGACTATATAAAGGTCCAATTTTATATGTTTTATAATGTCTAGGACTAAAAAATAGTGTGACTATAACAAGGTTGTGACTATATCAAGAGTGACTATAACGAGGTCTGACTGTAGTTAGGATTATACACGTTTATCAAGGGTCGTCGATCTCGTCCAATCAACAAATCTATATAAATTTGAATATTTTTGCATACGTGATTTTACGTGTTTACATTCCAGGCCGGCTTATAAAAATTATCAAAACACATTTTTTTTATCTTTATGAACTGGTGATTTTTATAGAATTCAAACTTCACATTTCGCTAAGTATGGATAAAGAAAATAAGAAAAAGATTTATGAGCATCTTCATAATAACTCTGTTACACCGACACCACAACCAAAAGAAAGATTGCCGGCAAAATCCACTTATGAGCAAGAACAAGCTGAAAGACGTCGTTTATTGGAAGAGTTTAAAAAGAAAAAAGAATTGGAAAAACAAAAAAAAAAGTAACAACCTTTTCTATAATCATTGCTCGTGGATATTAAAATATAGGACTATTTAAATTCAAATTACACAAAATGTTTAATTTTAATATATAGGAATGCAAGACCTCCGGCAAAAGTATCTCTCACAATGGCGAAACAAAATAAGGCGGCTTTAGATCGTGCTAAACAAGTCCAGTATACCCCCAAAACCCAAAAAGTGGGATCACCCTTACCTGAACCGCTAACTAATCGCAGGCGTTCTAAAATATTTCATAGTCCAGTGGCAAACGTAGTTGGAAAAGCCAGACGCATAAGGGTGCCAAGATTAGAAGAAGTTGATAAAGACAAGTTAGAATTAACACCTACAAGGTCGTTAGAATTAACACCTACAAGGTCATTAGAATCTACTACACCCACACAATCGCCATTAATGATGTCAATATCTCGCCAACGTTCAAGGATATATTCTAGTCCGACTTTGAATATCTCGGGAACGCCTAAACGTGCCAAAATAATAGAATCAATAGAAGATCTCAGCGAAGTAGGCAAAATTCAAAATGATATGGATTCCATAAATTTAAATGCAATAAACCTGACACCATTAAATCCCCGCAAACGGCTCTCAATATTTCCTAGTCCATCGGTTGAAGTATCGGAAACCTCACAACAGTTTGTAAAGATGATAGCGAGCAAAGATCTCAATGATGACATTAGGGATGGCAAAGTTAGTTTAAGTTTGATTTAGGTTCTAAAAACCAAAGAACCAAGTTTTTATATAAGTTAAACCTGGTTTTGTTTAGAACAAAATTTTAAACTTGGTTCTCAATATTTTGTAAGATACAAAATAAAATATACTAGAAAATGCATAGCATTATGTGTCCGGAGATAAATATAATAATTCTATATATTAAAATTATTTGTTATCGTTATATTATTTTGTCGTTTTACGGTGCTGAATTTAGGGTTGTTAATTGGGGTATCATACTCCGGAGACTCAGTTTTAATCCGAACCAGACTGGAGTGTATTTATTATAAAATATAAAGAAGGGAATATTATGAAAAATAGGAATATTTCATTTCATTCGATTCTGATCATGGGATCCCATTCAATAGATTACATGATATATATATAGTCAGAACATTTTTAGGAATGTTAATGGAGTAATATACTCCGGAGCAATCCTGAAGTATAACCCACTCCATACCGGTGTGGTTTTGGCATGACACCACCTCGGGTTATTAA